GAATTCTCTTCTTTTCAATGAAGTAATTTATATAAAAAACAAATATTCTCAGTTTATGTAATCTGTATGAAAAGAGAGTGATTTCAGTATTTTTTTCCCCAGCTCATTACACTTCATTACGCGTTAATCTGACACGCCCACGGAGGACGCGCGCTATTCAAACGCAAATGTTGAGGCAAGCCATGACAATGCCCACATCAGCCGTTCCACCGCGGCGGTAAAATGTGGGGTGTATTTGCTGCCTTTTACCGCTAAGAGGCGCTACAATCATAGACTCATATATCATGAGAATCATCAGAATCATATATATATATTGTCCTTGCATTCTTTCTTGTGTGACACCCCTGAATGAAAGGCTCATTATTATGCAGGGTCACTGTCTGAGAACCACTTAATTATTCATGATAGGGGTTGGGCCGTTCCGCCCATCCGCATATTGCCTTGGCAAACAAAAAAATGTTTTTCACAATTTAAAACAATCTATTGTTTTATGTGAATGATTAGGAAGGATGATTTTCAGATCATTTTGAAGCAAAAACTCTAGGCGACAACGTCCATTAGTCAAAAGTCTTGTGGACACATATTTAGTATGTTTTTTGTGTCCTTATTTCAAAAACTTTATTTTTTAGTTTTTTCAATAACCACGCATAAACAATATTCTCTCAAAAATACAAACTTGTACATACATGTTGCTCACATATTATGGTAGTCCTGTGTGTGCTAAATAGAGTGTAATTTCACCTGTGCCATTAATATGTTTATAAGCAACTGAAAAAAGCTGAAATGTCAGAGCATGTCAAAACATCTCAAGGAGCCCAAAACACCTTGGACCCCAGAGGGTTAATGGCAAAGGTGTCATTACACTCTATTTAGCACACACAGGGCTACCATAATATGTGAGCAACATGTATGTACATGTTTGTATTTTTGAGAATAATGTTTATGCATGGTTATTGAAAAAACTAAAAATTAAAGTTTCTGAAATCCACAAAACATACTAAATATGTGTCCACAAGACTTTTGACTAATGGATGTTGTCGACTAGAGTTTTTGCTTCAAAATGATCTGAAAACCATCCTGCCTAATCATTCATATAAAACAATAGATTGATTTAAATTTTGTAAGACACTTTTTGTTTGGAAAGACAATATGTGTGGGGGCGTGAATGATCATGAATAATGTTGTGATCACACCTGAGAAGACAATGACCCGCATAATGAGCCATATAATGAGCCTTTCAGTCAGGTATGTCACTGAGAGGGTACCACAAGAAAGAATGTGAGGACGAAAGAAATGTATATATTCTACAGAAATTGGTTCAAAGTTAGTTGGAAAAGTCTTGAAAAAAATGTATATTTTTCCACAAATTTTGTATGCATGCAAATTGTATAATATCCAAGGTAAACATTTCTAGTAATTGTGCTGTTAATTCTCGTACTGTATTTTCAGAAAGTTTTGGAATATGTATCCTCTCCCCAAATTTAATGAGAAGGCTTATATTGAGACTTTGTTTACATCTACCTTGTAAATATATGTTTTGCTATTTTATTAAAAAGGTTACAATTACAACAACAATTACAATTTTAACAGTATTTCAAGTGTAAACTTTCTTGTAAAAAGTATACATTTTATCATACGTATTTCAAAGTTAAGGATTCATTAGTTTGAATATTGGAACAAACACTATAATAACATCTTAGTTGATAATTCAATATACCTACTTTATTTTTGACGAAACAGCCCATACTATATATTTATTAACATGAGCAAAAATTGGCGAACAAAACTTATTTGATGTGGCAGTAGTCTTTTTTACAGTAAAAACTTCTATCCAAAACTAATCAACGAAATCTTGTCTAAACATTCATATTTCGTCTGTAACATATAGTTTTTATGATATATTAGCATATAAAATATTAATTTGCAGTTTAATACGTTGCTTATACAAAGACATTTTATTTCAACATATTTCAGTTGATTTACTCATCTCAGTATAGCAATATAGTTTGGTAAAAGCTAAACTAGTAGATGTGTCCATGTAAAAATAACATGTTTACTAATGTAAGTGCGAGTGTGAATGAATGGCACAGCTGTAGTAAACAACATTCATTCAATGTTCATTCATTCACACACAGACACGTTATTCATATTTAAACAGTCGTTTTGCGGTTTACAGACTCTATTCCATATTGCGATTAGAACAAAGCACTTAAGAATAAAGAACTTACTATTCACAATCCTCAGCTGGATCCGTTGCTCCTCGAAGTGAAACTAAAGCAGCACTTCTAAGGTAAATTTCCTAGGATTATTATTACGGTAGTATTATTCCTCACAGCGTAGCAAGACGACGAAAAGTACATGAATCTGATTAAACTTGATGACAGGTTTGCATGGATTGCCTCAGATCATTTGCGTTTGAATAGCGCTTGCTCTCCGTGGGCGTGTTTACATTATCAGATAATGAGCTGAAATGAGAACGACTGACATCTCTCTCTTTTCATACAGATTACATAAACAGAGAATATTTTTTTTAGTTTTGAATTAGATCATTTAAAAGTACATGCTTAAATGATTATAAAGATATATAGCTCATGCCTGGGTGAATAGTATTTGCTGAGTTTTGTTTAAGTTTAGAGACGTGCTCCAGAAAAAAAGTTCACAGAGACGGAGAGGCAGAAAGCATACCCTGTTTATTTTCTTTATTTTACAAAAGCACAATGTTTTGTTTCGATTGTAAGTGGACACATAAAGAAGTAGACATTTTACAGTTTATTTTTTCATATTTCTTAAGTCTGTATGACCATAAATTAGTATTTTAAGTCTATTTTGCTGCTATGTGAAAAAAATCAATTAAAACGCTCCGGCGCCTTTGCCGACCCCAGAGGGTTAAGTATATATTAAAGGACAAGTTCGGTATTTTACACTTAAAGCCCTGTTTTAAGATCGTTTCTGATGAAATAGAACGGTTAAGATTGAAATTTGGACACATGCTGCTGGCCCGAGAATTTTCGGTTTCTGTGGTTGCACCCCCCCACCTCCAAAATGGTTGCATAGGTGCACTGGAACAATCCTTCATAAAACGCATTCAACTTTAGTTTACAAAGACGTGAAACTCACCGAGTGGTCTGGGATGTTCACTGATATGCTCACACAAAAATCGCTGCAAAAGATGCTTTCCAGTTGGACAAAAACTATGATAAAATCTGTTGGAAAGCATCTTTTGCAGCGATTTTTGTGTGAGCATATCGGTGAACACCCCAGACCACTCGGTGAGTTTCACGTTTTATTTCTAGCTTATTCAGTTTATTTCTAGCTTATTCAGTTATGTCTGCTAAGTTGTCATCGGTATTGTCAGCCCTTGGTTATTATTAAAATGATCTACTGATCTATATGTACAATAACAATTGCAGAAAAAAATAACATTACAATGTCCAGAAATCAATTTCAATAGCAGGCCTACAATGAGTTTAATTTGTTTAAAGGGGTCATATGATTTCTTGTTTTCCTTTTTCTTTAGTGTGTAATGTAGCTGTTTTTGCATGTATAAGATCTGCAGAGTTACAAAGCTCAAAGTCTCAAACCTAAAGAGATATTCTTTGTAAAAGTTAAGGCTCAGCCACGCCTTCCTAAAACGCTTCATTCAAACACGCCCCCACAAATCTACGTCAGTATGTGGGGGGAGAGTTTCATAACGCCGCCCAAATGTATACGCAAAGAAAGGATTAACTTTTATTCTCGCTGTATTATTGTTGCCTCCGCTGTCGCCATGTCGTGGAGACGCTGTTTTTTTTTTTGCGAAAGCCAAACTACTTTGTTTGGCCTTCCAAAAGAGGACACAATTATAAAACAGTGGTTAAGCTTAATTAACAACACTGTTCCAGAACAGTACAACCAAAATATTCGACTGTGCTGCGCATTTTTCGGAGGACTGTTTCCAGAACCTGGGAGAGTATCAAGGTCGGCTGTGCACAAAGGCTGATTCTAAAAAGTGGGGCTTTTCAAGTACAGTCTGGCGCTTCTGACTCACAGACGTTTTGTGATGTGTAACTATGTTTTCATATTTTAAGAATTTGCTACTGACTATTCAAACGCGAGTTTTGAGCAGTATAGAGTAGCACTTGTTTGTCGTTTAATAATGTCGTTTAATAATTAATGACTTTTTTCAACCTAAAACCACGTAAACACAATGCATTAAACCAAATACACAAAATAATGTTCTTTTTAGAACTATCATATGACCCCTTTAACATGATATTTTCATGTCAGTGAATAAATGCATAATTTGATAATAATGCTCGTGTGCAGTAACAATCTGGTGGTAGAATTTTTGTTAAGTGTGTCTGAGGTTCTGAGTTCTATATCCTCGTATAGTAATATATATTTTTTCTCTCATTAAAACTAAAGATGTTCATCAGTGATTGTATATTAAGAGCAGAGACATGTTTGTGTGCATTTTAATTTCACCGCAATGGCGTTAAGCGATGGATTGTGCACGAGCGCCAAGAGAGCACAGTTTCCTTCCACCACTGATAACAGCAGCAACAAATGCTTAACATGATTTCAAACACATTCCAGCGCCAGATCATCTCTCATTAACAAAAAAACTAAATTAATATTTTGCTAATCAACTGGAGATATTTCATTGTATTAGGTAGGCTACATCCGTGCCACGAGATGTTTCAAAAAGTGGTAGGGACATTGTCGACCCTGGCAAAAAGTGGTGGGGACATGTCCCACCCGCAAATTACGCTTATGCGTGTGGGGATTCGCTAAGGTGAACAGCCAACTGAAGTGACCTCTCTCTTACGGGCGAGTTCCGCCACCGATTCGACATGCAGAATTGGCCAAAAAACAGCCGACGGCGTCCAACTAGAGCCAACAGTGTGGAACACACTGAAGAAACTAAGCTGACCAATGCTCAAAAACAGCCCCGCATTGCCCGATGGTTGACCCATCGGCTTGGTGTGTCCCAGACTTTAATCCATGTCTTATTCATGCAGGAGATGATATCTGTGGGTAAGAAGCCTGATAACCCCAGAGACCTGATTCCTGAAGGAGAAATCATATTGACCTTTAATATTATGTATCCCATTCTGTTTCAGCGGGTATGTATGTAACACATAAACACTAATATAAGTTTAATTTGATTTAACAATATAAATTAGTCTCAGTAAGCTTCTCCAATGAATGAATGTTTATTTTTTGTGCCAGTTTAAGTATGTGAGGGCATATCAGACTCTGCATGTGTTGGGCTCTCAGAGGCTGAGTGATCTTAGAGATGCGATTTGCTGCGTCAGTGACCTGCAGGTGTTTGGAGAGTTCAGCAACACTCCAGACATGGTACCACAGTTCATCAGCAAGGTTAGAAACAAACACACAAGATGTTTCTCAATATAAACCACATTTGAACAGGGCCAAACTGACATTGGCAAAGGTAGCAAACATACAGCTAAAAAGTGATTTTTTTTTTTTTTTTAGGATCATTACAAGTCTGCTTTCTTTTTCTTCAATGGAACATTCTTCAATGACACACGTTTCCCAGAATGTCAAGACATCAGCATGTAAGAACTGTGTAGGTTAATACTATATTAAATACTGTTTAATCCTACTATATTAATATATAAGGTAGCATTTAGAGATTTTTATTCTGATATTGCACTAAATCCAAGAGTTTTACAAGACAAGTTACTAAAGACTGTAGAGAAAAGCTCCAGATATGAAAGACAGAAACTAGGGATGTCCCTAATATCGGCTATTTGCCGATACCGATATCAATCCGATATTTTTATTTTATTCTTGAACTAATACTAATAATCTTAGCCCTGTATTATTATTGTCTAACCTGTATTATGACTGATATTTGACGAATTTCTTTGTTCCTTTTTTGGATTAAAGTGTCTTCTAGCCAAAATGTAGGCTAATAATAATGACAACTATTATTTGCGTTTATAACTATAAATGAGTTAACTTAAGACAGTAATATGTTTATCATAAAATAATTTATTAATGTTTTATTTTTATATAACCTAACATTTTACAGTTTTTGAAATGTTTTTGTTTTAGGCTATATTTCTTTTTTATATGTGGTGTCTTTTTTTGCTTATTATATTATACTGAGCTTTTTCCTCACAAAAAATGGACTTGAAATTATCCATTTTGAAAAATCCTGTGCATCCCGCACCTAAACAGCTGGCCTGGTTGAATCAGCCGGCATAGACAAATCCGTGAGTAGCTACAGTTTACAGCTTACGGTTTATAAACTGAGGAGACGGATTGCAAAACCGTGTGGGTTTTTTCACAGGTGACTCAGTAGGCTATTATCTAAATGTTCCAGGTCAACGCAAATAAAATGCAGAAATCAAATTTCGTAAAATGGAAAAAAAGTTTTGTCAATTATTTGATTTTCAATTAATCTCTAAGTATTGTATATAAGGAAAATAAATTTGTATGTGAATATTGTTTCACCAGTCTAAAAACGAATAAAGAAGAAAGCATGTTTTTCGTTTTTCTATTAGGCTACGAGTTAAAAAAGGAATGTAAACCGGACATGTAAAAGTACATCGAAGGTAGTGGGAGGGAGTGTCTGTTGTGAGTTTAGGGGGCACGTCAGCCAGAGATGTTGTGTGTGTGTGTGTGAGTGAGTGAGACTACTGCCTGCTGAACAGAGGGTCGCCGAAAGAAGGATCTGAAGTGCCATTGTTTCGGCGACAAAAACCCGCCGAACTGATCCGAAACCACCCAATCTGGCAACCCTGACGTGACAGGCTGTACTGCTTAACTGGATGTCGCAGCAAGGGAAATGCTAATATTCAAGCATTTAGGCAATGGTTTAAGCTAGATTTTCCCATGGTTTGTGTTGGATGGGTATCGGATTGTATTTTTTTCTCCCCTCCGATCTAGCGTTCTGGGCCAGTATCGGCACGATACTGATGACGTGGATCGGATCGGGACTCTTCAGAAACATTTGAAACACTCTTCAGTCACACTCTTCTCCAAATATCAAACCAAATATCACAAGACTTGTGCTTTTTCAAAGCATCACATTTGTACACTCACCATTGATTGGTGAATAAGTACAATTTTTACATTTTGTCATAAATATTCACCTTAATGTTTTTAAAATCACTCATTTACATATACAGTGTATTCAGAAAGTATTTCTGAAAGTGTCAGATTTTAATTTTCCCCCACTTTTTCTTATTTTACAGCCTTATGCTGAAATACTTTGTTTTCAGATCAATCAAAACTCCGTCACTTAGTATTATGACAAGGCTAGATTTGTGACGAGTTAAGCAAATTTATTAAAAAGGAAAAACTGAAAAATCACATTGACGGACATATTCAATTTCAGACCCTTTGTTATGATGGTCAGCTGGATCCCATTTCTCTAGATCTTTGGACATTTGAGAATCTTTTTACACTTTGATTTAAGTCTACCTGTGGCAAATTAAATTGACTTGACATGTCTACCCTAGTGAAAAATAAATATACTAAAATGTATTTAAAATATTTTATGCTAAGTATACTACAAACAGACCCGGGGCCGGGTCGCGGGGGTAGCAGTCTAAGCAGAGACGCCCAGACTTCCCTCTCCCTAGACACTTCATCCAGCTCTTCAGGGGGAATGCCGAGGCGTTCCCAGGCCAGACGGGAGACATAATCCCTCCAGCGTGTCCTAGGTCTTCCTCGGGGTCTCCTCCCGGTGGGACGTGCCCGGAACACCTCCCCGGGAAGGCGTCCAGGAGGCATCCGGAACAGATGCCCGAGCCACCTCAGCTGGCCTCTCTCGATGTGGAGGAGCGGCGGCTCTACTCTGAGCTCCTCCCGAGTGACCAAGCTCCTCACCCTATCTCTAAGGGAGCGTCTTAGAGCAACCCTGCGGAGAAAGCTCATTTCGGCCGCCTGTATCTGGGATCTTATCCTTTCGGTCATGACCCACAGTTCATGACCATAGGTGAGAGTAGGAACGTAGATTGACCGGTAAATCGAGAGCTTCGCCTTACAGCTCAGCTCCTTCTTCAACACGACAGACCGGTACATCGACCGCATTACTGCAGAAGCTGCACCGATCCGTCTGTCAATCTCCCGTTCCATCCTTCCCTCACTTGTGAACAAGACCCCAAGATACTTGAACTCCTCCACTTGAGACAGGAACTCTCCACCAACCTGAAGCGGGCAAGCCACCCTTTTCCGACTGAGAACCATGGCCTCGGACTTGGAGGTGCTGATTCTTATCCCAGCCGCTTTACACTCGGCTGCAAACCGTCCCAGTGCATGTTTAAGGTCCTGGTCTAATGAGGCCGACATGACAACATCATCCGCAAAAAGCAGAGACGAAATTATGTGGTCCCCAAACAGGACACTCTCCGGCCCCTGGCTGCGCCTAGAAATTCAATCCAAAAGAATTATGAACAGAACCGGTGACAAAGGGCAGCCCTGCTGGAGTCACACATTGAAGATCTCTCTGACAGGGGACTCGGCCAAACGTTCCCAACAGACCCTCACAGTACTCTGGGTCTGCCGAGTCTTTCCAGCTTCCTCCCCCACCATCGGATCCAACTCACCACCATGTGGTGATCATTTGACAGCTCCGCCCCTCTCTTCTACCGAGTGTCCTAGACATATGGCCGGAGGTCGGAAGAAACGATCACGAAGTCGATCATCGATCTCCAGTCTAGGGTGTCCTGGTGCCACGTGCACTGATGGACACCCTTATGCTTAAACATGGTGTTCGTTATGGACAAGCTGTGACTAGCACAGAAGTCTGATAACAGAACACCGCTTGGGTTCGGATCAGGGGGGCCATTCCTCCCAATCACGCCCCTCCAGGTGTCACTGTCGCCACCCATGTGAGCGTTGAAGTCCCCCAGTAGAACGACGGAGTCCCCAGTCGGTGCACTTTCCAGCACCCCTCCCAGAGACTCCAAGAGGGCCGGATACTCTGCACTGCCTTTCCATGACCCGAAGGCGCAAGGAAGCATATTTAAAGTCTGCTAAATTTGAACAATGTTGTAATTTTGTACTTAATGCACTTTAGTTATCCGGAAATAGTGCTGAGGTCCAACTGAAGCTATACTTAAGTATATTTGATTGTGCTAAAGTGGAACTATTGCAAGTATACTTTAGGTACACTTTAAATATCTTGCATTAAAGAATGATATTATACAGAGATCATACTATCCTTACTAATAGTGATATTAAAACACATTTTAGGCTTAATATTAAGAAATGTGCATTGTGCAATAAAGTAGTACTCCAAATAAAGTCTAATTATATTTATAGCAGTAAGTCTCAAGCGATATGTCAGTACATATGGAATATGTACTGGAAATGGAATAAAATACTATATAAAAGAAAAAAAAACGCAAAATATAGTTCACTTACATTATTAAAACTATAACAAAACGAAATTAAAAAACTGCGACAAGTAGTACGCTATATGCTGAGTTTCGATTATTTTTGTGACGCCCTCCGAAAACAAGTTCTTGGAAAGGAAACTGAAACGGCAGAAACCTCATCCTGTTTGTTTTCTTTATTTTACAAAAGCACAATGTTTTTATTGTGAGTATACACAGATAAAAGTATGATCAAGGATGGCTTACTCTTATCAGTATGACCATAAATTACCAAATTGAGTATTTTAAGTAGTTTACCCTGTTATAAGAAAACAATTCAAGTGATTGCGCACAAACCAGTGTTAATTTTGACTGCCATTTTTGATTTAGTCTTAGTCTTCATCTTCAGACGAAAATGCTTATTAGTCTGTCACATTTTAGTAATTTTTGCCTTTCATAGTTTTAGTCTAGTTTTAGTTGACGAAAAGTCTTTGCATCCACATGTCTTATTTATTGAGTTTCTTCTCAGATAGACACCATGTATGGAACTGAAGCATCTTTGCACCACAGTACCTATTGAGGTCTGGGCATGTGCCACACAGGATTCGAACCCACGGCCTGAATGGTTCGGTGCATGTGGTTTAACAGCTTTCGCCACTCAGTTGACCCTGACTTGCCAAACTGCTGAGGAGAGGCTTCAGTGTAAGAATTAGCACACAAAAGCATGTTAACCAGATTAGCATGCTAAGCTATCTTGATGCTAATGTAGCTTATGGTTAACCTGATAGCTGAAGGGTAACCTGATAGGTTTTTTTGTGTGTTCTCAGAGTGAGCCCATACATGTGTCAAATTTGGTGAAATATCTCATTTTGTTTTAGAGTTATAGACATGTATATGTGTGAGAGCATAAAAAATGACCCATGGGCGACTTTGATTGGATTTATTTGCCGCTTACTATCAAAATTTTGACATTTGGATATTTGCATTCAGCCAACGACCTATGTTTCCAAACTTCCTACAGTGGTTTCGCCTCGATTGGTCTAACGGTTTCGAAGATATCGGCAAATGTTTTTTTAAGCATTAAGTCACAACGTTACACAAACAGTAAGGCGAAACCTAGCATGTTTAATATCTTTGGACTCGGCAAGGATTCAGGAATCTAAGGAGATGACTCACGTGAAAATAAGTCTACCACACCTAAAGTTATAAGCATTTGAAAAATACATTTTACCACTAGGTGGCGCTGGTTCAAAACTTCTCAGGCTCCTTCAGGGCATCGTATTGATGACCCATACCGAGTTTCGTAACGATACGTTCATGCGTTCATAAAATACAGCATTTTAGTACAAAATTCAAAATGGCCGACGTCCAAAATGGCCGATAGGGGAAAATTAGAAATTAGTCGACTCAACATGATGCCTTGAATCTAACGAGACCACTTTTATGATTTTTGGA